AGGGCAGGGTAAGAAAAAAATTCACAGGACAGGATAGGTTACAGGTTGCCAAAATCTCAGCAGAGCAGGTTACAGGTTGTCAAAATACTTTAATCGGCAGGGCTCTATCAGTCTGGCCTGAACAGTGTGCAATTTTCTTATTGGAGGTGAACATATGACTTTATTGCTTGAAAATGGATTTCTTTGCTCAGAAATTATTGAATTGGACGTAGAAAAGCATTTATAAGGAGCAAAGTTTCAAAGAAAAATGTCACTGGGGAGCCGCTCAAGTAGACACGAAAAACGTATGAAAATACTACAGTATAATTTTGACCATTTGTGAGTACTAATCACGATTTTCGATTGTCATCCGAAAATATTCATAACAGGATGTACGTGTGAATGTGATACCTCTCTCCATTCGCACTCACATCCACTCAAGAAAATTATTAGTAATTTTTGTTTTTCAGCTGATCAACCATTTGAAAATTCAAAAAGCTATCTACTTCATTCTTGTCAAAATCTGTAAATAAATGTTTTTATATACAATAAGATCCCATTATGAGTTTGGCCTTTGGAAATGTGTTATAAATCCTATTTTTGATAAAGCAAAAACTCTATTGATAATTTGATAATTCCAAAAAAGAAAATTGTCTATATATATATTTTTTTTTATAATGTAATCATTGTAGAAAAAAAAAAAATTACACGAAATTAAACATTCATAATTTTCACTAACAAAAGAGAAAATTTTCTTTCCGAATAAGATTCATTCTTTTTCTTTGTTCAAACAATTAATCATCGATTTAAAGTCAGCCATTTCGAGAAAGATTGTCTCGAAAATAATAAAATTAAAATTACACTAATCAAATAACAGATCCCAATACGCTGCATAAAGATATAACGATATATATCGTCTTGGTGTTGGAAAAATAGCTAAATGAGCCATTTTAGTAGCTAAATAAATATTTGAAAGAACAATATTTAATTCTTATTATTTATTTCATTATATCTTACCACTATCAAGTAAAAGAACAATATATCCAATTCTATTAACACCCATTCGATATGAACATCCTGATATTGATATTTCATAAATAAAACGTTTTTGATCAAGATCTATTGAAAGAATCGATTGTGGTAAATATTCTCGTGCTATGATACGATTTGTTATATTAATTCGATCATATGCAAATATATAAAACTAGACATGTATATATATATTCTTTTTGATTTATTGTCAAATCAATTTACATACGTGATGACTATCACCTTTGAGAATAAGATTTGATTCTAATTCATTTATAACTCGTTTAACAAAACGAGTAGGATGTGTTAACGAAGGCCAATGATTAAGTACAATACGGAAAATTGATGATAATGGACGATTTTGTGTTTGTTTCATTATTGCCACACGCTTGTCATCAACATACGATTCGAGCATATCAATATCTAACTGAAATTAAACAAGAATAAAGCATCACAACTTTAAGAAAAAAAACAGTATGACTTTTTTTAAAATGATATACTTTAAGATATTCAATATCATTTTGACGATATAAAGTAATACTTCGACCAAAATAATTTCGAAAACGTTGTCTTAATATTGGTTGTTTATCACTATAATATTCTCCATCAATATCATTATCATCCGGAATAACAATATATTTTTGTTCACGATTTTCATATTGGAATATTGAATCAAAACGATCAAAATATCATTTAAATTCGTCATTTGATGCTGATAAACCTTCATCAAATATATCATCCAAAAAAAAAAAAAAAAGAATCCAATCTGGTTTTATATATTGATTTACTTGAGAAAATGTTTTAGCAAGATACCTATAGAAAAACAAAATCATATTAGATCAATCGAAAGGTTAAAATAAGAACTCAGCACTATATCCTATAACCATCGTACAACTTCTTTATTTTATATAATAGAACAAGTATATCATATTTAGTCAGTAAAAAAAATGAAATAGTCAGCAAAACTCATTAGACAGAATTAGCAGTAAAAAAGAACAAATTTTATTAGTATGAAATATAAATTCGTATATAAAAAATAAATTTCGATAAATAAAAAAAAAAAAAAATTTACAGAATATTTTAAACGAATAGCGATACCGACAATGTATTTGCATATGTAGATTTTAAAAAGAAAAGTGGAACAGTTGCATATGGATGTTTTCGAGTGAGAATCATTTCTCATTTGCATACACTAAATATCAAATTATTTATTTTTATTTTTTTGAATTAAAAAAAAAAAAGAAATTTAATTTTTTTATTTTCATAAATATTTTAATCGACTTGTGTAATCGATTGTAGCAAATAATGAATAGGTGTATAATTATTTGGAATACAAATCATATCCATTACTGATCATTAGTGGATCTTGAGCAAAAACATAATCTTTTTTAAACTTTCTATTATCTTAAATTCTTGTCTTGTTTTTAGGCCGTTGTTTGTACTTAGTACTAGTGTTCTGCTTTCGGATCGGGTACCGGATATGAAAAAAAAACTGTTGACTCGTGTCTGAATTTGAAATTATACCCGACAATATGAGATTTCGATGTTTTAAAATATTTTTACTTTTTCAATCTATTATATACATAAAAGCATACGAATGAAAACAAGTCACAGACGTGAACAGTGATATTGTTTTACTAAGAGAATTCGTTTTTAAGGAAAGTTCATCTACTGATGATCGATAACCCATGTAACGATATAATTAAATCATGGGAAAGAAACATGAACTATTGAAAAAAAAGTGAATATGTATTATCGCAATGAAAAAAGCATTCATGTATGTATTCACAATTATGATATTTAATAGCAGTACTGTGTTTCATTCCAGCGTCATCAGCAACAAGCAAGCTTATACTTAGCAAAATTCATCGAGCTTTAAGCAGGAGAGAGACACCAAGTGAATCCTCTATTACTTGTCTTTTTGTGGGATTTGAGATGATCTCTTTTAGTGTGTTGATATTTATGGAAGAAACTAAACAGTATACTTCTTCATATAAAGTAAAAGTTTGTAAAACTGTATTATGACTGTGAAAATATCTGCCGGGTGCAAAAAGTCGTATTTGTACAGGACACTACTTGATATGCAGAGATGTATAGCTTTATATCAATCATCATTTGATTTTAGTCATTTATTGTCAAAATAATTTTTTCAAAGTGGAACTTTTTTTGTTTCTATTTACTTTCGACCATTTCAATTCTATGCTAATCCTTTAATTTCATTAACTGTAAATTAATTTTTTACATTTATTAACTAGCATCATTAATTGATAACTGATTAATTATTAAATTGACTGATTTTATAATTAATTATATCATTTACTGACCATTTTTGTCTATCTTACTGACTACGTAAATGAAAGCCTAATAGAAAATGTACAGCTTTTTTTTTTAGCTCTATTACTACTGTTTCTTAGATCGATTACAAGCATTAAAACAAGCTTTGATCAATCAGCTATGATTTATTGTTAAGATTATATACTATATGGTAAAAAGTGATATTAGCAGAATATGATAAGTATATTATAATATAGAAATGTTCATACCTATCACCATCCTTTCTTGTAATTAATCCAAACAAATCTTCATCTTTTTCATCAATTAATTGTGGATCAGCAACAAGAAGAAGTTTTTCAATAGTAGACCTATAAAAACATAAAAAATAAATAATTTTCAATTTACATACTTCGGAAAGTTATTAACCGATAAAAAAAAAATTATTCTTATATATTCAAGCAGTTAAATAAAATCAAAATCAACAGTCATTTATCTTGATATAATCTTTAATCACAATTATCATTTTTATAATTGATTCAATTCAAAAAGTCATTACATACGAATTAAGTATTTCTTTAGTTTTGTTTTTCATGAATTTATTCTTACTTTTTTTCCTAATGATTCAATATCTGGTCTATGAAACCGAGACTATTCATAGAACAAAACTTCATTAATAAAAACTGTCAGGATAACCGTAATAATAAAAAATCCACATCGTATTAGTATCCATCGTTTAAATCTTAAGAAAATCAAATAATTGAAATGAAATTCATCAATAGGCTTTAATAATTTACTTTGTAAGAAATCTTAATCGAATATATAAACTATTTTATATATATCTTGATGATGTTTATAATCGACGCAGATTAGGTTCTAATTCTTTATTCTCAGATAATGGATGACGATGAACTAACATTTTCTTTTTTTTTTGCTAACATTGTTTCATTAAATCAAAATCTAAAACTAGAACATATCATCAAGTTTATCAATAGAACAAAACAAAATAGAAGATATAAAACAATATAGAAAATAAATTCAAATCAATTATATAGAAAAGAAAAATAAAACACTTTTCTTTAATCACTGATATTTTTTTCATAAATCTTTTTTAAACGTTCAATTGTATCATATAAATCTTTTGGAAATGTTGTTGATGTTTCATTTACTCGTAATGATATACTATACATTTCTTTATAATCTTCATATATTGCTTTTTTTTTATTATTTTTTATTTTATATATTTTAACCATTTCTTTAAGAAATGTTTGTATACGTCCATTTAATATTGATAAAAGACGTTGCGCTACTTGTCAAAAAATATTTCATTATAATTATCGGGATCTGGACTTGCTCGATGTTGTTCTATAGTACCTATACATTTCTGACATTGAAATGATGTACGTAAACCTTGTTGAGAATATTTTAAACATGATTGATTATCTGTTGCATCTGTTAACATAAAGATTTCAAAATGAAATAGATAAACAAGTTCTATGAATTTCGAAATACAAGACGAATCATAATAATATGATTAATTCACGAATGTGAAAAGATATTGCGAAATAGTTTTTGCTAACAGCTTCTAGTTAAGTTCGTTAGATCTAACATTGAATTTAAAATTTTAAAATATATACTTGAAACTACAGAAACCCAAGACTTCCTGCTTGTACAATTCAGAGGTGTACAGAAACCCCTCGATTGCAGCCAGTAGATTCTAGATTACACAAAAACATAAGTCTAGAGTAGGATGATTGACTGCATTGGGCCTTGTAGTGAAGGTTGCTTTTAGTTTCAAAACAATAAACAATTATTTTATTCAGATACTGAAAATATTAATTGACTTAGTATAGCTGAAAAAATGGAAACTTCGAAAATTTGGATACAATAAATGTAGATCGTTTTGAAATTGACAACAAACATAAGTAATCGATTCAGCACTGCCAATTGCTCATTCTCAGACCTAGTTTTTGCATAATACAGAGCCCATTAGTCGAAATTGAGGGACTTTCTGATCATCTTTTGACTACTACAAGTTAGAAATCTCGAGTTTGCTGAATTCAAAAGAGAATAACTTTCTCTATCAAATAAATCTTCGAAAACTTGAAATTCAATGTTAGAGTCAGGATAGTTTCAAAAGACATCGACCTCTCCAAGCGTGACGGAATCACATTTTTTTTACTTTCTTTTCTCAATATCTCAACAAATTGAAATCGAATAATGCTGATTACTTTCGAAAGATATATAAGCTGGACTACTCTACACATTATGAAAGTTTCATTGGATTCTATCCTTCTATTATAGTTTTATGATTTAAATATAGGTCCGTGATGGAATCACAAAAAAATGAACATCGAATTGCAATGTTATGTGAAGAACTAAAAATTTTAGCTCAACCATAGAAGATGATAAAAAAGTTTTTTATACGAAAGTTATAGCTTAGATGACTAGTTATACATAGAAAAAAAAAATAATTCAAAATATATAGTAGCTTGACCTCAGAAGCGAAAAATAGTGTCGTGACGGAATCACGCTTCAAAAATGTTGATGTTTAGTAATAGTTTATTTCTGCTGAAAGATAGAAATAGTTAATCAAAGTTAGTCTAGAAATATCATCTAGTATAAAACAATCAATAACTCTCTTTCAAATAGTCTTAATACTATAAAAATACTTACAGCATACCAAAAGTACGAGTGGCACTATGATGCTGAATATTTAGTTTTAGAAAACTTTCTCTCTATATAGTCTGATAGGGAAAAGAATGCTCTATGTTTCATTCCTATTCGATCATACTTCAACTAATATCACAATAATAAAATCTCGATAAGATCTGTTTCGTTACCATATGTGCTGGTAGAATTAATAATCATTTTTAAAACATACTCAAAAGTATTTTTTAAATAACTTTTGACAGAAATAAGATAGGAAACTGTGGTTTTGATTGTTGGAAAGAGGAGATAAAAACACATCGAACTGCATACTCCAGGATTTTTTACATATTTTTTGCAAGTTCTTCAATAGACGTTTCTGAGAACAAGAAAATTTGGTAAGCTTTTTACACTGAATTTTCAATTATCAAGTATAAATTCAGACCATCAATCGAAGATCTATAAACTGTAGAAGATTGAGATGAATAATATGCATTTTAGTTGAGTCTGCAATACAATTTTATACTGAAAGCTGTGAAAAATGCTCACTTTTGTGATTTTTCCCGTTTTTCATAAAAAAGAACATTTTCCTGACACTTAGAAAATCGAACAAAAATACTTCAGTAATCAATATTAGAAAAATTTATAATAGACGATTCGATGCATCTTCATTTGCTCTTTCCAGCAATGAAAATCGCAACTTTCTATCTTGTTTCTATCAAAAATGATTCAAAAGATTCTCATTAACATTTATGGAACGATGACATATGCGAATAAGACAGGTCTTATCAAAATTTTATTATTATTATGTTATTTGAAGTATGATCAAGTAGTATAGAAAAATAGAACATTGTTTTTTCTATTAGGCCATATAGAAAGGTATAGGTTTTTAAAGTTTAATGTTCAGTCCTAAAGTGTCACTCCTACTTTTGGTATATCCTAACTAATTATTTTTCAACGACACTCGTTCATTAACTAAGATAGAAAATTAAACAAAAAAGAGACGATAAAGATTATGGAATCAGATGGATAGATCTAGCTCGACATTAGAAAACGGTATGAAATGGTGATAATAAAGTTGCCACTACCAGTTATTGCCATGTAAACGATATTACTTGAAAACAAATTCTTTAAAAGTACATGACAACTACCCTAAACTAATTGCCAGCTTTGTTGTTGAAGTCCTTAAATATCTTCTACGTCCAAAACATCCATCTAGGCTGATAATATAAAACGAAAAAAAAATTCTCTAATTTTGGTAAAAAAGTTTTCACTATCAAATGGTGATTCCGTCACGCCCGTTCAGTTAGACTCGAATGCTTGACTAAAAATGCGAAGTAGTCTATCTGATAGGGCATTAAAAAGTAACGTTAGAGAACTTATTAGCAAAATCAAAAAATCCTTGTTTAAGGCAAAAAACGAATTATAAGATATTTTCGTGACGGAATCACACTGAGAAATGGACTAGTTTACAAATGCAAATGTCTTTTTCAGGAAACAGGAAAATCTAGGTCTTTCGACATGAACATAGAGACCATTCAAATTACTTTTACATTGTATGATCGACTTTAAAAAAAAAGCATTTCTTCTTATACGAAAAACTAGACCAATAAATGACAACATATAATTCTGACTTCATTAAATCTACAAGACATGTTTTTAACAACAGTTGTTTCTCGAAGTTAGGCTTATCTGCGTAAATAAAAAATCTATTTTCCTATGCTGTCAACATTGCTCTACAACATGGCTGTATTTGTTTCGTCCAACTGTGTCAGTTGATTTCGATCACATCGGTTGACCGTTAGGTGGACAGGTCGACACATTTAAAAATCGATCG